AAAGCTATATAGTAAGACATGAGGAGGACATGATTGCCAACATTGGGGGACCAATAATTCAAAGACAGGGCTTGGCACACTGGGTCCAAATCCAGCTTGCCACCAGCTTTTGTAACAACATTTTATTGGAATACAGCCGTACTCATTGATTGATGTGTTATCTGTGGCTGCTTTCACAATTCAATAGCAGAGTAGTTGTGGCAGATACCATAAGGCCTGCCATGCCCAAAATATTTACTCTCTGATCCTTCACAGAGTAAGTTTGCCCCCAACCCCTGCTCTAGGCAGAGGATGGGCAAGTGTCTAAACAACCATATCACCAGTAGGAGCAGAAGTGGTAAGTACTAGGGCCGGCATTCAAAGGCATATGGAAATTTGGAGGAAGACCCATTCACATCTTTTAGGGGAACAAGGAAAAGTCATGGACCAGCAGACATTCAGAATGGGCCTCAAAGAATGGGTAAAATTTCTGCAGCCAATTCTATAAGTTGGGTAGATGACCTCAAGAAGAAAATGTGGCATGGGCACGTGGTCACCAGGTGAAGTAAGGATATCTAAGATGTGACCTAAAAGAATGGACTGCATGGAAAGCAATAAGGGATAGAGCTAGAAAGGGAAACTAATAGAATTTTGAGAACTTGAATGGATTTGTATGTAATTGTAAGCAGAGAATCACTGAGGTCATTTGGTAGGGTAGTAACTTGGCCGTTTTCACGTGTAAGTTTGTGTCAGTTATTCCTTTTTAGTTCAAATGAACTACGTGTGTGCCTTAGTAGTGACTCTATAAAGCAAAATCTACACATGGCAGAGTGAAAAATATTTAGGCCTTTGAGACAAACAAGACTGGGCTGTTTTCATCTGTCCTCCCTAAGCCTGTGGGCAACTTTTTTAAACCTCTAGGCACCTCCATTGTCTCATCTGTAAAGTGAGGATAATACTAGCACGTTGACATAATGTCATGAATAAAAATTAGGAGAGAAAGCACAGCGAAAGTCCCCACATAGGGCCCGGGACTTAGAAGCCACTCCAGAGATGCTAATTCTTAATGATCCGTTCTATTAAGATGAACCGTAAAAAGCTGCTCTTTCTTGATTCCATTTTTCTTGACCTACAAAAAGCTCCATTTCATTTGGCTCAGCTTGTGTTTAGGGGAAGCAACTGAAGAAATGACACGTTGATACACATCCATTGTGATATGACAAATCTCTTGACAGGCTAAGACTCACACTGGGATGAGCCTCTCACACCTGGCCCTTCCCCAAACACAGACAAGCTAAGCAGCAATCTGGGCTATGTTATCTTTTCAGGGTGCAAAGCGTGTGCTAGAAGCAAATGCCAGGCAGGAGAACACCCTTCCCACCATAGAAAATGAAAATCCATGTGGTTGATTAAGTGATGCAGCTTCTCTTTGCTGCTAAGCTGTGGGCTTTGGTGCACCTAGGATTGGAGAGATCTGCTCTGTCTCCTGTGGGCCTTAGGAGCCTCAAGTCGCCAGTAAAGGTCTCCCCTGGCTGACACTAGCTGGGGGAAGGGGCTGGGCGAGTCAGTAAGTGGCTTTTGTCACCGTGAGTGACTGCACACGTTCACGGTTCAGTCTGTAGACACAAAGAGTGAGACAAATGAAGACAAGCTGCTAATTGCAGTGCATGGGGATCCTGAATGGCCAGTCTCCTTAGCGAAAACATTAGCAACACATTCAAGCACAGGGATGTAAGAAGTTAAGTACTTTGCAGAAATGTTTGGCAAAGCCCTGAAAACAGTGAGAAGCCGTAGACTCTCCCCATTTGGGAGAAGCAAGTAACGTGAACACGTTCCTTGAGGTCACCTTCCTTGGTGGTCATGCATTATCCAGATGCCTTTCATGTGGCCCGGGGTGTAGTTATCTGACCCTCTCAGACTGGAGTGAATATGTCCTGTTTCCACGGTGTTTTCCATTCGCAACAAAGGAAGGAAGCCAGGCCAATATTGGCTTGTTGACTTTATACCCTGAGGCTGGAGATTAGGCCAAACAACTAAGAATATGGACACATATCAACTACTGGTGATATGGGGCAGTGTTTAAAAAGAAGCAGCTCTGCTGTTCATGGCCTCAGTGATATCTGTGGGAGCCTCCATCAAAACATTGGAATCCTTATGATAAAGCCCTTCACTATGGTGAAAACCCTTCTGTGCTTTTCAGTAAATTATCACCCCCATATCCTCATAGTAAATCTATATCCTCACTCTGACTTTGACATAGCTTTTCTCTCCTGGCCTCCGTGATGTGCTAACGTGCATCAGTTACCAGAAAGAGATTTCATTTACCTACCTGATGAATCTGTGGGAAGCTAAGAGACTCCATTACTTTCCTACCAACTATATCCCTATCAACTTCTAATTTTTTTGTTCTAGTTCAAAAGTTCTTTCTCCCCATCCTTGGAAATGTGAACACACATGCAGTCTCTCTCTCTGTCTCTCTCTCTGTCTCTCTCTCTCTCTCTCTCTCACACACACACACACACACACACACACACACACACACAATTCAAGAGATATCTAAAATTTTGGTAGAACAATCCAGGTCCAGTGACTTGCAAGGATCATTCTGAGTGTGGTTTGGGGATGACATAGTATGTTAAAGGGACAACTACCTCTGCATAAGCCTCAGAACAAAGTTTTGGAAACACCTTTATTATCTGAAATTGGAAAGAAAGGTTTTTCCTTAAAAGAGTTTGCACATTTTTACTTCATTTCTTCCACAAATCCATAAAAGAAAAGGGAAGTACTTTTGAAGATGAGGGATTTTTATTTTTATTTTTTAAATGTTTGCTTATTTATTTTGAGAAAAAGAGAGAGAGATAGAGGGAGAGCAAGGGAGGGGCAGAGAGAGGGGGACAATGAATCCGAAGCAGGCTCTGCATTCTCAGAGCAGAGTCCCATGTGGGGCTCAATCCCATGAACCGCGAGATCATGACTTGAGCTGAAATGAAGAGTCAAATGCTTAACTGAGTGACCAGGTGCCCCAGAGAGGAGAGAATTTTAAATTTTCTATAAAATCTTTAATTTTGGCAGAACTAATTCCTCCTTTCCTGTGTCCCCACTTTGTTCTTCGCTCCATCATTGAGTACATAGCCCATTGCTCCAGCTATTCACCCAGACCCTTGATGTCAAATTGCACACCTCCAGGGGGTAGCATTCACACAAGAGACACTGTGAATGCTGCCCTGGAGTCATGCAAGACAGCTCTTTCTGGAAAGCAAGGCCACATGTTGCATCTGTCCCTCCTGTGCCTGGGGAGCGTGGCTCCTGCCCCATTCCCTGCGGGATACATTTTTCTTTAGCAAATGAATAACTGTGTCAACCCCACCACCTAAGTGACATTAAAACACCTGTAATCATATAAAAATATTGAAGCAATCAGTCTTATGAATTAAAGGACACCTAGAGATCATCTAATGCCACCAATTTTTAGATTAAAAAATGGAAGCCCAAATTCTATTTAAAAAAATAAAAGACCCAGGTCAAATGGCTTTACCCAGGTCACATAAGTAGATAGGGAAAGACAAAGCTGGAGCCGGAACTCTATTCTCCCCAGGTGATCTTTCTGCCGCACCAGGTTTGCTCAGTATGATTCACAGTCAAGATTACTATTAGAAATGGTGCCTGTGTATGTGTTGGCATAATTCTGTTGGAATTTGCAGTATCTTAGAAGACTTTATAAAATTAGTTTTCTAATATACCTATAATCAAGATCATTTGATATCATTCTGCATGTGTTCAAATGTTACCCACTTAAAGACATTTGAAGTCAGGTGGGGAATATCTCCACAAAGTCAATTAAATAAGTTCAATTTGAGTGAAAGCTGAGATGGTGCGACTTGGGAGATTAAGTATAGAATTTCCAATTTAATGCTTTGAGTGTGTGTCTTAAATCTGTATAACTGGCTTACTCTGGGAATTGAAACCTAGTTCATTTCTTAGAGAATGATGGTCCTGCTACCAAGACCCTTTAAGAGTTAGATCATTAGAGTTTGTGTTGTTGTCCAAGACTAAATAACAAATGAAGAAAACACATGTTCAAATAGAAAACACTAGAAAAGTATCTATTTTCACTGGGTGACAGCAAAAGCCATCAGCAGTAAAAATGAACTGCTAAGTTCTTTGCAATCCCCTGAATATGGATTTAATATACAACACGTGCATTTCTTGAAACTATTTCTTTTCTAGGAAGAATTCTTCTCCCCAAATACCCACCCATCAAAAAGAAAGGTGACATTATTGATTTTCAGATTTCTTATTCTTCTTATGCCAATAAGCAACAGAGGAGAGAAAAATCAAAGCCCAAAGAGAATTCGCATTGATGGCAGAGGTCGAACTTATAAATGTGTGGTCTGAAGGATCTGTGATCTAGTGTGAAGCAATAAATCAAAGCAAGTAATGACTGCAGAAAACCAGTGTGTAGAGAAGCCTTCCTGGGGAACATTAACATTTTAATATAGGAATAGTCTACTGAGTGACACAGACATGTTTTGTGCCTAGAATGCACAGTTACAGGTAAAATCCTTCTCTGAACAAACAACAAGAAGTCTTACCAGGTCAGACACATGTGACTGTAACTCTGACATCAATTTTTTTTTTTTTTTTTTTTAAAGAAAGCAACAGAGGGGCAACCTGGGTGGCTCAGTTGGTTAAGCGTCCGACTTTCGGGTCAGGTCATGGTCTCACAGTTTGTGAGTTTGAGCCCCCGAGTCAGGCTCTGTGCTGACAGCTCAGAGCCTGGATCCTGCTTGGGATTCTGTATCTCCCTCTCTCTCTGCCCCTCCCCCAATCTGTGCGTGCGTGTGTGTGTGTGTGTGTGTGTGCGCGCGCGCGCGCGCTCTCTCTCTCTCTTTCTCCCAAAAATAAACATTAAATAAACATTAAAATTTTTTTTAAAAAAAGAAAGCCTGTACAGAAACTCAGAAAAGGCAGTTTATTCATTTGTCCGCTCAGTTTTGAAGCAAACAGCCAGTGTTACCTACCCTTCTCACTGATGCATCCAGTTTGCTTTGGAGGGTCAGACTTTGTCTTGCGCTGTCAGCAGGGGATAATGTTTTAAGTCAGGACGAAGGCTAAGGATCTTAGGACTTAATTTTGAGAGAAAGGAATATATGTCCCAGGTCTGTTAATGACTGGGGTTTAGAGGCATTTCCTGCAGACTGTGGTGCAGGGCTCCAGTCACTGGGACGTCATGAAGAAGCTGCAGCCCCAGCACGTTCTCTCTGAGCCACCTCTGTACGCTTTACTTTCTCATTTGTGAACTGGGAACGAGATGTCCTGACTACCCTTCAGGGTTGCCATAACAACCCGAGGAGCCCTATGAAGTGATAAGATCTTTGCAGCGACCTGTGAGTATGGGTGTGACGTGGTCCCAGGCTTTGTTCTCTGCAGTCCCTGAAGTCTCTGAATCCTTACCAAAATCTGAAGTTGTTATTCCCATTGCATAGATGAAGAAACAGAGGCTTAGAGGAAAAAAAAAAGTTGCCCAAGATTACACACTAGTAAGGAACAGGACTGGGATGAGATTTCGGGTCTGATCCCAGAACATTCTGGAACAATTGCTTATGTGATTTTCCGCTTTTCCCTAAAACGTTTACCTGCTTCTTTCAGTGCAGCTTCTGTCCCAGCTGGCAGCTCCAGGTCCTGTGTGAATAATTGTGAGTCAGCTCTTAGGGAAGCAAGCCTTCATTATCTCTGGGGGACAGAAGGCTGCTTCTTCCAGGAATCTGGCAGACCCCGGCAGGAGGCAACCACAGGTCTTTGGCAAAAGATCACTTTTCAACAGCATTGTCAATTCCGGCGACCCGAACTTCCACCTGCAGGTCCCCCGAACAGCTGCCGTTCTGTGGGCGGCAGGGGCAGTCTGTCTCCCTTTAAAAGGCAAATGCAGACCCCCTCCTCCCTGCCCCCTGAGGAGATCCCACCTGGGATTTCATCCCCAGAGCTGGGGGTCAGCTCCCACTTGGAGAAATTAGAGGGGGTTGGGGAAGGACAGCTTTGACAACAGACCTGAACTCTCCTTTTTAATATAAGACAGATTTAACATATGTCATTATGTAAATCTGGGAGTCCCATTTGAGGCTTGTAATTTGCCACCACCTTCCCCGTTCCTCCAAGTGCGGTGGGGCTATGCCAAGCACACCAAGGTAACCGGTAGAAGGTATAATTTGCCCGCTGTGAGCCTTTGCTCTGGTTCCCTATTGTAGTTTTTATTTGTGTTGAGGTTTTGTGGTTTTAAAAAAGTCAACTCGAGTTATTTTAAAATTAAGGCAAACCAACATCAAAGGCAGTAAGAAGAAGATGGTTAGGTATTACAAAGAAGCTTGTGTAATCTTTTATAGCCATATTCTTTTTCAGGGCACGTATCAGTAAATGGTTAGGGAACCTTTCATGACCCACTTGCTATATTTCTCTGACCTCGAGCTACCCCCATGGGTGAAAATCCTTTTCCTATGGGGTTTAGAATCCTCCTCTCTCCTCCTCAGACTCTCAATCTAATCCTGTTTGTACCACAACATGCTGAGTGAAGAATAAGAAACAGGGCTTACATTCCTCCCTATTGCACATGCTCTTTAGATACGACGAGCTGATTTTGCCCGCGTTCGCTTTTCAATATGGGGAACCCTTTTAGACCCAAAAGATGGGACCAAGTGGTTCATGAGTCATTTACCGGGTAAGCAGAATAAAGCTTATATGGAAAGTTTCTTTTTAAAAAGAATGGCAGGTGATACCTGAAGAGCTTGTTTGGTTTTTAATGTGACAGGATTTTCTCAATCCAGACACTTATATAGAATATATTTATTTATTGGCTTTTGTAGGAAACTCAAGTGCCTCTGTACTAGGCACTTTAAGTGATATAGATAGATAATAGATAGAAAGAAAGAAAGAAAGATAGATGATAGATAGATAGATAGATTTGTTATTTCTCAAAAGAACTTTTTAGAAAGGTACTATTATCTCCACTTACAGATGAGCAAATTGAACCACACCTGCTTTTTCTACTCTGCAAATCTGTCCCTTTAAAAGGAGTTGACTTATACTACTGGACACAATTTATACAATTTTAGGTACAGTGTCTCCTGTGTTCAATGTTATATCGTTATGTGCTGTTGTAACTCTGCTAGTTAACTGGGATTCTTACTGATCATCAGGGAATTTTTTGTGCCAAAAACATCTCTGGTACCAAAACAACATTTTCAACTATCAAAAGAGAAGTTCTGCAAATCCCCTGGCAGAATAAAATATATAATAACAGGCAGCATTTTTGTAGCTCAGTATACAACACGTATCCCAGAAACTCCAGGTTTATCCCAAGGGAAATTTACACCACAACAAACCAGAGGGGCACGTGTCCATATCCCTGACATCACCAGGCTCACAGAGACTGTTTCTCTGGTTTTATCATACATGTCACGGCAGAGGGCCATCTTCACTTGTCATTAACCACAATATTTCACTGAGAGGATCCTCCCCAGAACAGACAGTGACCATCAGCTTTCTGAACTAACATCAATCGTTACTGGTTCTGTGAGACCAGTTACTTTAAAGCTGGACTTCACACAAAAAGCAGTCCCAGATGTAAGAAGCACGCCACACTTCACTTTTTTTCCATTTTGTTAGAGTAAATGGGCTCTGGAATGGAGTCCAGGATCTACCACCTGATGACTTTGTTAATCTGAGGAAATTATTTAACTTTGCTAAGCCTCAGTTTTCTCAACTGTAAAATGAGAAAGACAAACCTATTTCCAAGAACAAGAGAGATAATCAAATCTGTTAAGGTATGCAAAACAACGCAATACACAACACATGGTAAATACTATGGTTTTAATATTAAGCAACTTTAAGTTAAACAACTTTAATATTAATAACATCTAAGGAGAAGGCTCCGTAGTCTGGCGGAGAGGTAAAATATAAACAATTCACCGTGGGAGAATTACTCTAGTATAGATATGTACGTTGGGAATATGAGGTGGCAGCATCTAATGGCCAAGGGATTTGGGTTTGATATCAACAAGAAGGGGACATATTTTGTGGGTCCCCAGTGGGATGTATGGGACACTACTTGAGTTTCTGCAATAAATTAAATAGAAGCTTGAACTAAGATGTTCGAAAGTAATAGGACCCACCACCTGGTAGTTAAGAAAAATTGCATTCTGCACCTATATTGATTTGTCTATTAAAAGAATAGCTTTATTGATAAGCATGTATATTGCAGTAGAGTTGGTTGTAATTCCAGCAAATCCAATTAAATTAATGGTATCTATATATAAGGTTAGGAAGGAGAAAATCTCATAGAGACTAGATATGTAAGTAATCAATAAAATAGCCCAGTTAACTCAAGAGAAAAAAATATGTTGAAATTATGACTCATTATTATTCCACATATTTGTGACTATATCTAATAGCCCAATTAGCAATAAGATTTTATGACTTAACACCACCATGAAAACATTCCCTTCCGTATTACTGAGTTTTATTTGTAGATGTTACAATACCACGATCATCTTGATGTGTTTGTACACATTTTATTCAATGAATCCAAATGAACTTGCACTAATTACCTTTTTAGCTGTCGGTCTTGGTTTTATAAGTTTGAATCCACATGCTTTTAGAGGATGTGTGCTGTTTGGGGTGGGGGATATTTTAGCTCTTCCTATAAACATAGAAGATACATGAGAGGGGGGAAAAAAAGCTTTAGCAATCGCCTAAATTACCTTTCCGAAATGATTGTTTCAAACCTCTGACTTGAAATATTTCTCCAAATGACTAAAAACATGTATAGTAAGAATGCTCTCTGGATATTTTCAGAACCCCTAGTTATAACTATGCACCAAATATGGATAAGCACTGGATCATGCAGTACACAGGGCCCATGCTGCCCATCCACATGGAATTTACAAATGTTCTACATCGCAAAAGGCTTCAGACTTTGATGTCAGTAGATGATTCTGTGGAAAGGGTAAGCATACCAATGTGCCGCGGTGATAGATTTTGGTCCAGCTTCCTTTGTGTGGACCCATCCTTGCCAATTCTGTTTTTGTTTTGTTGTTGTTGTTTTTGAGAGAGAGAGAATATGCATACATGTTCAGTGATTTTATCTACCCTCCCTTATCTTGACCCCTTCACTTAACTCTCCATCCCACTGCCTTTTGAGCCAGTGGCAAAGATGAGATAAAAACCAAAACACCATAAATCAAGGGCTACAGTCACAAATACCTTCAGCAAATAATGTAAATCATAAAGCTGGTCTCGTATAAGGCAATAGGGAATGGTGGGGATTATGGTGAACTTTAAATGCCCCCATCTATAACAGGAAGAAACCTCCCAGCTCCAGCTAAATTTCTCCATGTAGAAAGGTAGATCCAATATCATGAGCTCTTCTGACTTCTCTTAAGGGAGCTAGAAATACAAATATCTTATGTGAAATTCCCTGAATTTTAAAAAACCAGCATAAGTCAAATAATACTTGCCTAAAGACTGGATCTAGTTGGATTAGGCCCAGAGGCAGCCTATTTTTATTTTTTATTTTATTTTTTTTACAAATAGTTTATTGTCAAATTAGTTTCCACATAACACCCAGTGCTCATCCCCACAAGTGCCCTCCTCCATGCCCATCCCCCCTCCCCCCCACATCCATCAGTCCTCAGTTTTTGTCAGCATTCAAGAGTCTCTCATGGTTTGCCTCTCTCCCTTTCCCCCACCATTTCCCCCCTTCTTCTCCCCCTTGTTCCTCCGTCAAGTTCCTCCTAATCCTCCTATACGTGCAAACATATGATATTTGTCCTTCTCTGCCTGACTTATTTCGCTCAGCATAACACCCTCAAGGTCCATCCATGTTGCTACACATGGCCAGATTTCATTGTTTCTCATTGCCATGTAGTATTCCATGGTATAGATAAACCACATCTTCTTGATCCATTCATCCGTTGATGGACACTTAGGCTCTTTCCATGTTTTAGCTATTGTTGAGAGTGGTGCTATGAACATTGGGATACATGTGCTCCTATGCATCAGCATTTCTGTATCCCTTGGGTAAAGTCCTAGCAGTGCTATTGCTGGGTCATAGGGGAGTTCTACTGTTAGTTTCCTGAGGAACCTCCACACTGTTTTCCAGAGGGGCTGTACCAGTTTGCATTCCCACCAACAGTGTAGGAAGGTGCCCGTTTCTCCACATCCTCGCCAGCATCTCGTGTTCTCTGATTTGCTCATTTTAGCCACTCTGACTGGCGTGAGGTGGTATCACAGTGTGGTTTTGATTTGTATTTCCCTGATGAGAAGGGATGCTGAGCATCATTTCATGTGTCTGTCGGCCATCTGGATGTCCTCTTTGGAGAAGTGTCTGTTCATATCTTCGAGGCAGCCTGTTTTTAACTGTTGATAACCAAAAATGAAAAAATTTAACAATGGATTTTTCAATGTAAAACTTATGTAGGGTGGTAGAGACTGTTTTG